TCGTGAAGTATATAAGTGATATTTCAGTGAGAAATGAATTCAAAGATCTGAAAGATTAGAACCCGTAGAACCAGCTGACTTTTAAGGTGCCTCACGAATTTCTGTGGGGCCCGTGGAGTAGCGTCTTGATGAGAAGCTGAGCAAGCTCGTCGATGGTAGGAGCAGAAGCATTTTTTATAATTTAGACCTGTACAACCTTTATTGTTTCCTTTATATTGAGGATCTAAACTCATGTTTAATCATCGAGCTGTCAAAAATGCATGTTGCTGTCCTACAAATCAGAACAATTCACATTTGCTACCACTACCAAGTCTGTTGATCAGCATGCGTCACCCTTCCTCCATTTTTGATGTCAATTTGATGCTTAGTTATGTATATTGAGTAGGCATGTTCTCAGTCATTCAAATACACAGTGATATAAAGGAGACAAAATTAATGAGATTATATCAATGGAGTCACTTTACAGAGATAAAAGCAGTGTTTTGGTATAATCTTGAGTTTTAGAACTAATCGAAATTAAATCAAAGACATCCAATAAATAGAAATTGCACTGAAAATAGTCAACGTTTTAGGTTATTCATTAGATCGTATAAATGCTCACACAAGTTATCATTCAGCTTACTTGTGGTAATATCTACGACTATATGAACCACGAGCGGCTTACCACGGTAGTTGGTGTACAGCTCGACATATAAGGAAGCATTACAACTGCGAAACTGATCAACAACAGACAATTTTCCGTTTAAATTCATTTAGGAACCGGTATTATACCAGACTAATCTACATTTAATGAAAGATATGGCAGGCAGAGGATGCAAATCAAATGAGTGAGTGAGATTTGTAATTAAAAGTTCCACGTGTTTTAACTATTCCACACATTTCCCACATTTTCTGGTGCTGTATAAGTAGGGACAGAGTTTGACTATAATTATAAGAATAATAGGAGGCAGTTGTCATAAGAGATGCGTCATAAAATCATCTGCGGTGTTTGTGGAGTACTTTTGGGAAAGGCATGCAAAAGGCAGAAAGACAGGAAGAACGTGAAGTTCCCTCAGAATGTGGCATGTGTTTCTATATTAATATTATTCCACGTGGTTCCGAGTGGAACACAGGACCTCAACAGAACACCTACATTTTATCCTCTTCTCCGAAGTCCTTTCCGTCCGATTTCGCAATCCCCAACAGTCTCCTATGTCTCCTTCACATGGCCTGCTCCATTTCACATTCGGATGCTCAACTCATCGTTTTCCATTCGAGAAGTGGCCTCAATAGCGATGTTGCCTAACGGTTTCCATGATGTGTGTGCTGTCCACTTACATTTTCTTGGGGATATTTGTTAGGCAAAAGGTTTTTGGCTGGTCTTAGTTCTCTCTAGTCGGCCATCTCATCTTAAGCATGCAACCAACGATGAGTCCCCGGCCTGTTCGAAATGCCTTTTGTGACGCAAACATCAAGCTTCCGACCCATATAGAAGAGCTGACTCAGTAATGGTGTTAAAAATCTGAATTTTGTTTTGCATGTTGAGTGCACAAAGTTTGAGAACCAATTTCTGACTAATGAGTGTCTTTCTGATTCAGATTTTGAAATCCTCACCCATGCTGTCCCCTGTATTTGGCCGATACTTCCTACATAATTTCCGCCATCGCTGGCGGCTGGTGCTGAATGTTGTTGTAGGTTGGTTATCTTTGTTGCCACCATCCTCTATGTGTTCACCCGAATTTCTATCTTTTCTGCTTCTTCTGCCAACTTGCTGGCTATCGCCTGTGAGTCTTCCAATTTATGTAGTGTTAAGAAGCAATCAACCACTTAGCCCACATTGTCTGGAGTCTCCCTATCGGTCCAACTCATTCCCGTCTTCTCACTCACCACCACCAGACACATAATGCAGTCCACCACAATCATCAATACCACTGGTGATAGTAGACAGCTCTGTCTCACCCACGTTTTCACTTCAGAGGCTTCCTTGAATTTTTATATTGTGAATAATCTGCATGTGGCACTGTCGTATAGCTTTTGAGTAGGTTTGATACAAGTTTAAAGCACACGCTTGTGCTTAAGCAGTCCCCGAATCACTTGGCGGTCAATCCTGCCGAAGGCATTTCCAAAGTCTACGAATTGAAAGTAGATGTTTGACTGCCATTCCATGCTCTCTTCGATGATGATATGTAACGCTGCTATTTGATCCTCACATGATTTGCTTTTCCTGAATCCAGCTTGTTTCGTAAGGAGTTTTACACTCGAAGGATTTTCTAGTTTGTCCTAGGTGACGCAAATTGATATTTTCGTTAGCGTGAGCAGCAGTATGTCTCGCACCACTTCTTAAACAGTTTGGCCATATAGCTCTTCCATCCGGTAGGTACCTTCCCAACCTTCCAAAGTTTCTATAACAGTGTCACGGGGAAATCGGCTAAGGTCTATGGATTCACTTTTAGTAATTTCAGGGGAATTCTTTATCATCCATTCAAATGAATCTCAGGCATTACGCTTTCAGTAGTCAATTTGTTTATCTTCATTAACTGGATGACACTCCAGACATCTGGGTTTTCAAGGAACAATGGTGCATCCCTGCACTACGGTTTGATTGTGTATCTCTGTACTCTCCTGCCACCATCACCAATAAATACATCATTGAATGGCCGTAAGGGTTATACTCTTCTCTTTAGTGAGGGCAGTGTTAAAAGCAGCCGGGAAACCAGTTTAGATGGTTCAGGCTTTTAATCACGTGGTGACAAAGCACTTACTCAAATATACGTGGCTCACTGGTTGACCATAACTGTCAGCAAGAAACGGAACGAATTTCGGGCTGGCACTCAACCTCGATGGTGACCTTCGTGAAGTGCTCACAATTTAACATTTGTAAGAACCTGTTATGATTACTTGTACATTAATCGAACAATTTAAACTTTGGAAAAACTGCTAATTTGTGATGCTTCACGATTATAATTTATAACATAACTGATCGTTCCTGTCCTGACTCTTTCTTGAATAGTCACCACACATCACCAACCAGGATTTGGACAGTAGTCATTTTTCAGAAGGTCAGGTGAACCATGTGAGCATGACTAAGAACGCAATAATCTTAGAACTATTATCCACCCTTGGATCACCGGCGAAAATACTGGCACAAATGCAGCTAACACAGGACAGACGATGTAGATCGCGCAATAAAGCACGTTCTCAGTGAAAGAGTGGGCCCGCATAAACTAGATCAATGGACCCTTTTGTTGATATCACTCTGGGTTGGCATACAGTCAACAAAATTCACACAACCATGTGCCTGTCCAAAACTAGCGTCGGTGGCACAGTGGTTAGGACTCTCGTCGACCATGCACATGGTCCGGGGTTCGATCCCCTGCCGACGCACACCTGATATCTATGGTCGGCCTGCAAAATTTGGGCTACCGATATCACATGCTGAAAATTGCATACCTGTACCAAAAAATACGGTGTGAAATCAAGCTGTAATCAAAAATAATAAAATAACATGGGAACGATTAACCCTTTCTCAGTAGCGAATAATTGGAACAGGTGCCTGAACAGTTGCCTGCCTTACAGGATGAAATCCCTGGCAAGTACCTCCTGTTTGATACAGGAGCTTTACTTAGTATAGTGCCAAAAGTAAGGGTGGAGCCGGGACGAGAAATGTCCCCCATAACACTTCAAGCCGACAATGAAACCAAGATAGCGAAGTTCAGCGAGGGGACACCCACGCTTGACCCTGAGTTTAGGCGACGGCCTATATGGGTGTTCAATGTTGCTGAATTAGACTTAGAGATTGCCGGCACATAATTCCTGGAAAGATATGAACAATTAGTCGATACTCGAAAGAGACGTTGAATAATGAAAGGAACCTCTTGCTACACGAGTGGCAAAGCAAGCAACATCGCGTAACTGAGACACAAAAAATACTCATCTTTCTTCTTTCTGTTGTCGAGTATCTTTCAGAGTATGCTTCTAATAATGGAAATAAATCAAGAGAAAATACCACTAGACCGGAGGTGAGATAAACGAAACTAGGCTTATGAAATTCAAGGCGAGTTTTACCCATGTAGTAACAATACACTATGTTTAGCCTGTTCCATATGTATTAGGCATTAGTATTACAAACAGTTTTACATAGAAAAGTTTCGTATTTACAACTTCGATGTGAACGTGATTACAGCTTGATGCGTGACTTTTTAGGCGTTTTAATAATGATAATCATAAATTATAAGTTTTTGTACATGAGGAACGCTAGTTTAAATGCATCATCAATATGTTAATTTACATACCCGAGGAGTAAGCATATTTACAATTATTCACTAACGCAAGATATACGTTGGAAAAAGTTTTGGAATGATACCTATACTGTCACTTTGCACTGACGGAAGTGATGCGCACAGTATAATACAAAGCATCACCGTTAAAGAAATTTAGTCAAAATTCGCGTCATGCATTATTTCGTACATTGTATCAAAATAGTATAAATTCCATTCTGAGCTTGATTACCTCTCCTGGTTAATTAAACCAGTGCAGATTACTTGCCATTAGTTTCAAGCATATGTCAAATATAACTCAGATTCTATACATTTTTTGACTCTAAAAAACCAAACCTTAGATATGAAGAATTTTAGTTCGTGAGCAGTAGACCATAGGGCTCCTACTTACGAAGTAATACCGGTACAAAATTTATGTTTATCCTAATTGTATGCGAAACAACTATTGCACAGTAGTTCAAGCGTAGCAACCCCTGTTGTTTAAACACAACGGTCTTGCGCAAACCGTTCATTTCATAAACCCACTCGTTTGAGCTTATAAAACCAACAGGTAGTGAGAGAAAGGTGTGGAAACAGCCACTAAATTTGTGCTCGAACCACCAACAGTGACAGCAACTGTCCTAGGTATTTGACCCCTATTACTACATAAATACGCTAATGGCAGATGTCTCAGAAGCTGTTTCAAGATAAAAGTTGGCCTGCAATGATTATGTTGAACCTTTTCACACGGTGTGGTTTGTAGTCATGGCTGGTGTTGACCACGCCTACCAGTATTCAGTCGAGGTGAAGAGCAGGTTCTCACTGTTTCTGTATGATACCTTGAATAGTGAGGACCCGGATGTCCTGCTATCCAAATTACAATCCAAAAGAGCAGAGAAAACTAAGAAGGAGAAGTCTCATGATCAGCCACAGCAACAACAGCAGGCTAAACCTGCCAAGGTTGAAACGGTAAAGAGCGAGACAACAGCTGATACAGCGGTCCCGAAAGCTGCCACTCGACCTCCAAAGTCTCCAAGTGCCACAGATCTACCACCGGTATCATCAGAGGATGCACAGATCTTCACAGTGAAGGAGACAGAGGAACTGACCAGCACTTTTGTTCGTGGCCGCGGATCAGACAGTGGAGCGTCGCGTGGGATGCGTGGAGGCAGAGGTCAGGATCCACGGATGGCTCCAACGGAGCCACCCCTTGACTTGGCAGGCGATGTGAATGCGCCCAGAGGGTCTGGTTTCGAATCAAGAGGACGTGGAAGAGGCCGAGGAAGGGGAACGCTTGGTCGCGGACGTGGTATGCAGTTCAACTCATATCGGGATTTCGACCATCAGAGTGGTCCTGGTCGCCAAGGTCCGAGACAGTATGGTAGGAGAGATGGGAACTGGAACCCACAGGATGTGAACGCTCAGGCTAAACCATACTCATTTTAAAGAGTAACAGAGCTTAACTGGAATAAATAACTCACTTCTGATACATCAACCATGCCCAGTTTACGAGTTCGTTAGTTTTCTAGCCGGTTCCAAATCTGGGTAAAGAGGGAAAGCTGGGCATAAAGCTGGTGATCCTACACCAAAAAATCAACTTGACTGCCACAGAAACTTATACGCTCAAGAAATATGGAGAAAATACCAAATGTTTGAAAACAAAATATTGTCAATTGGAGAGTCTGTAATAGGCTTCAGTCTCGTTACACAGACCACAACCACGAGCATAATCAGGCAGTGAGTGGCTATCAGGATGTCACAAGTGGCAGCCAAATGCCTAATGCAGTGGGAACAAACTTCATCCAGGATCATGACATCAAGATTCAACTCAGAATGAAGGAAGGAAGGTCACAATTATCCAATGCTACAAACAACGCAGAACAAGAAAACAAAAAAGATTTTTACAGACAACTACAAACAGTATTGGACAGCTTCCCGAGTGGCTATATCTAAATCGTTATGGGCGATATAAATGGAAGCCAAACTGGGAGCAGATAATACAGGAAGAGAACTCACCATAGGTCGAGAGGCTTTGGTCGAAATGAATAAGAACGGAGAGTTATTCGTGGACTTCTACGCCTTCAGTGGTACACTGGAAACTGAAGCAGAACATGTAGGCCTAAGGTAAACAGACATCAGCACATTATATCAGTTAACCAGGTCTCTATCTGGGAAGAGATCAATCCAGATGATGAAACCAACAAAAGATGTTCAAGGGAACCTGATTACAGAGGAGGAGAAATGAGCAAAACAGCGGGCTGATCACGTCAAAGGACCCTTGAATCGACCATCACCTGAAACTCGCCGAGAGATGACGCCAACACCAAGCACATAACTGTCTGTAAGTGGGCGCCAGTCCTCCAGTGGAAGCAGAATTATTGAAGGCGACCAAGATACTGAATTCCAGTCGGGAAGGCAGCAGTGCCAGACGGAATTCCCCTCGAAGCAATGAAAACTGACACGGGGACTGCGATAGATGTGCTCTTGATATTATTACAAAAGGTTTGGAAAGAAGAATATGTGCCTACCGATTGGAAGGAAAGCTGGTTAGCTTGTCAAGCTACCAAAGGGGTGCAACCCAGTTAGGCCTCTGCAGCAACGGGGTGGAATGTTGGTCTTGTCTAGGCCAAGTGAAATACTAAGTCACGTCATCCTGGAGAGGACGCATTGGTTGCAGAACTCCCTCCTTACTTGGAACAAGCTGCATTTAAGAAAGAGGAGTCATAAGCTGGTCAAATCGCAATTCTGCGCATTGTCATCGAACAAAGCATAGAATAGCAGTTAGACCTATACCTCAACTTCCCTCATTGACTTCGAAAAAGCCTTCAACCGACAACACTGACCAATAAGTAATTCGGAAACTGCTTCAACACTGTGGCGTGCAGTACCAACCCCATCCAACGGCTATGAGGCGGTGGTGCGCGTCAGGTGATCCACAACAGAAAACTCAAAGAAGCGTTCGAAGTAAATACGGTAGTAAGACAGGCTGACTGCCTATTATTGCTGATGATATCCTTGATTGAGGTGGGCTGGATTATTCGTCAGATTGTGGGGAGTGAGAAAACAGGAATACGTTGGACTGATAAGAAGACTCCAAAGGATCCATTTTTCGTGGAAGACCTATGTTTAATGTCAAACAAACTCGGACTTGCAGGTGAAGATCAACAAACTGGCAGAAGGAGCAGAAAGACAAGACTCCAGGTGAGTTTAGAGAAGACGGATGCGATGAAGATAACCAACTACCATCACCACCAACAATAACCAGCACCAATCACCACCAACAGGAGAGGTTTGTCAGAGGTTGCTTCCTTCACTTATGTAGGAAGCATCGTTACAACTTCAGTCGGAACGGATGAAGATGGTAACGCCAGTCGGAATCGGAGAGGCAAGATGTGCCTGCATCAACCTGAAACCAGTTTGGAAATCTTATGTGCCCACTCAGAATAAAAAACAAGATTCGGTTTGTCAATACAAATGTTAAGCCGATTAATACTTTTCTACAGGTCAGAAACTTTCTCTACGTGCCACGAAAAGGATTTCCAACAGGCTGCCTCAGACGTTTATCAACATTTGCCTTTACCGGCCCCATACTGAATATCGGATGGCAAGCCGGCAGGCCAGAACGAATTAGCGGCAAGGGACTCTGTCTGGCAAGAAACCAACCAACTAACCAAGAACCGATTGTTCAGCAAATATGAAGGAGAAGAAGGAGATGGATCGAGTATACGTTGAGGAGGCCGCTGAATGATACCGCGCGCAGTGCAGGCCGTCTCTCGAAAGGAACCCCTATGGGAAGCGACAGGTAGGTGGTCGCGCAAGGGTGACATGGAAGAGATCGCGTGAGGTGGAGAAGATGACGGATTGTGGCCAATCGTGGCCCTAGCTGAAGAAAACATTAGCACAGAATAGAACAAAGTGGAGATGCGTTGTAGAAGCCCTCTGTGCCACTCAGAACCCAAGGCAGTAATTATAATTCCCATACCTCCCCATGTATTATCACCATTACTGAGTTTACATCTGTCCGCAAACGTATATGAAGGCTTATCGCTCTCTGTTAACCCGTTCTCACATAATCCCCAAAAATTTCATATGTTCCATTTGAATATCAGAAAGTTACCGGGGGTTACATCATGAGATTATGATGTCTGTAACTATGGTCATCCTTGATTAGGGTCAAAGTAGAACAACCAAAACAGATTTAAACATGCTATTTCGAGTTTTTTCACATTCCACAAATTAACGATTTGTGACCTTCTGTGCACCATTTGTATCCGAAAGACTCGTCAACCTTCTGGTATAGAGTCAAACTTACAGTGTCCATGATTCAGAACTTCAACATATGTTCGTTTGTGTACATAATTATGAAAGCTGGATGAGTAATTAGGTTTGTTTTAACCACTCACAGCTTCCATACAAAGCCCGTGCATCTGGTTTTCCTTTTCCTTTTACAGATCACAGGATATCTTTGCAAGTTCGAATTTGTACGAAAATTATCTGCAAACATATCTTCACATTTTATTACTAAATGTATCGACCACTTATTTTTTTGTATGGGCAGTGAAGCTTTATTCAGGGTGCTGTGAAACCGCTTACTTCTCTAACTAGTATCTCCCTTCTTTTGTTGCTTCGTAGGGATCCTCAAACGCACGTGATTAAACACCTGTTTGCCAGTCAGAGCCGGTTAAAGTGCAAATTCACAGACACAATGTTCGTGGCAGTTCCTCAACTAGGTTCTTTCTCAACTTAACCAATTTTCGCCTTTTCTTAACTTAGTTCTCGTCCACGTGTGTCAAGTTTCTAGGCCACCATCGGTGTACCATCCATTATTTCAAGCAACACTCGCAAGCGGACCAGCGAAATACATAAAGTGGCCGTTCTCCAGTGATAAACATGACCATGGCACCAGGATAGATAACGAGGGATAGGTGAAACATAACATGATGTTCATGGTGTAAAGAACGAAGTCTTTTGGCAAGGAGAAAAAGATTGCTAGATTTATCACTCAAACAGCTTGCCCAAGGTTATGTGTCTGTAAAAAATTTAACAATAAGCTGGATAAATGTACGAAACATCAGATTGAAAACCAAGTTAATGAAAGAATATTGGGACGGTATATCATGGACGTACAAACAAATATGTTGTGAAAGTTAATAGCTGCTTGAAAATGCACCTATAGTCCACTGCTGTAAATGAATAGTATAATACACAGACCTGGTTTGTCGCTGGGGTCGTGTCCGCTGGTAGCAGTCGTTTGGATGCTGTTGAAGGGTATATGGACGAGGAAGAGATGTCCCTATAAGCTTCAAAGAACACACTACGGGGATCAGCGGGGAAAGTAGACATTACGAACCACTGAGGGGTAGAAGGGACGGATAGAACCAGTATATTTTCATTTGAACGTGGCAGTAATATATTTTTGATAAAATTTTTTAGACAGAAGTTATGTACAATGTGTCCATTTGTACTATCTGGCAGAAGCTGTACAAATGTAATGTTCAGGGCTCCATACTTTTAAATCAGATTTACATTTGAATGCAAATATGTCTCAGCTCATTTCAAGGATGAATGCAGTATAGTTATTGGCACATGAAAATGGACGGAATTTATCAGCAACGACCTACTTTCCAGATGTATGACACTGCAGCTCTGTGACAATCTTCGAAGCATAAGCTATATTATTTAAACCAGTTCTGCGAAATTAATAAGCAATGAAGCCAAAACTCATGGGGCAAATAATAAAACATGAATGACCACATTTGACGTACGATTCAGCTATAATAGCAGAATTATTGATATAAGTATAAAACTTGGGCACTGTGGTAGAGTAAAACTCCATAATGGATAGGATTTTATTTTAATAAATCACACAGTGTTGTACAGTTAAATTAACTGATGACGTTTCGAGCACAAACTATTGCTCATAATCATAAGTTAATAAGTTAATAGCAGAAGATAAGAGGATTTGGAACGCACTTTTTATTACGAAAATGGCATTAATAGTAGGCTATAAATTATTCTGATTAATTAAAGACTAGCTCAAGGTTAAACCACGGAACAAAAGGTTGTCCAATGAGATGATTTCCTGAACACAAAGTAAACTAGGGCCAGGTGCAGTGAACAAACACTTATATCTATGAGGCCATTGACTTAAAATGCTGATATTAATTTTGGCCTCTTATCAATCTGCATCTTATAAACTTTATCCGTAGCACACGCTACTCTCGCCTCCCTGTCAGTTTCCAGCGGAGTCGTTACGACCTCCTTGGTTCTGTCGACTCTTGTTGTGTCTTGTTACCAGCTCGCTCATCTCATTGCATTTATCTCTGGAGTCGGCTGCCATTAATACTTTTCTGCTTTTCTCCTGTTAAGACGGTTCAAATGGAACCATGTCTCTAAGTGACATTATTTGGTCCTTCCCAATATGAAAGAAGTTTCCGTGAACCTGGCCCACGTTGCGCCGTGTACTTTTTCCTATACACTTTACTTGATCACCAAGTCCAAATATATGCATCCCATCTTTTCCCCCTACGGGATATGGAACAGAATTGGAGTTTTTCTCGTCGTTTTTATCCTAGATACCATACACCCATCTGTTACCATTGCAACGATGTATCGTTCAACATTCCAGGAAACGAGGCCGAAGCCGAGCTGATTTTTTGTTGACTTGCGCTAATGTTTGGACATTCATTTCACTGGCACACATTCTCAAAGGACGTCAAATCTACAACAAATTCTTAACCACTTGGTTGTCCAAGTTGTAATCACGAGATAATTAGGAGTTCCATCACTTGCAAGCAGATAGGATATATAGGACACAGGCTACTAGAGAAACTCCAATGCTCTTCCATATCCGGTAAGATTTAGACCTTACTCACGCGTCGGTGGCACAGTGGTTAGGACTCTCGTCGACCATGCACATGGTCCGGGGTTCGATCCCCTGCCGACTCACACCTGATATCTATGGTCGGCCTGAAAAATTTGGGCTACCGATATCACATGCTGAAAATTCCATACCTGTACCAAAAAATACGGTGTGGAATCAAGCTTTAATAAAAAAAATCATTTTGTCTTTCGTTGAACCAAACGCCAATCCAAGATTTTTTCTCTTTGCGGCTAAGTGCAGAATTTTGATTCCTTCTGATTCGAAAAAAATTGTAAAGTATTTCGACTGTGTGTATGAAGATACAGACTGGGCTTTATGCCAAACTGATTTCAAGTTGTTTGTTTAAACTCGCTAACTTCAGTTACTTACGATACTCTTAAGCCGTAGTTGGCCAATAAGAACTATGTAATAGTCTAGGGCGCGAGCGCCATATTGTTCACGGGATTTCCTGGTCTTGTCTATTTCAGCACTGTGATTATCTCGCTTAAATGCGGCTTTTTCATTATGTAGGTGGTGATTTGTGCAAGTATATGAATACCTCTAGTTTTTAATATGCTGATTTTTATCGTACTACACGTGGCTTCAATACTGTTACATTCCATCGTATTGTCTTACCGTTGATTTGTGTTGATGTCATTTCATTTCATACAGCCCTAGACTATTATATTAACCAAATAACCCTTTGGTACTTGTGTTTTCCTTTTTCAGCATTTAATTCATGGCTCAAGAGACTCAACAGAATGAACCTCGTGGATCCATTAGCTTGCGAAATTCCCAGTTGCAATATCCTAACTCACTAGCAATCGCTAACAATTGCTCATCTTCTAGTGATATTCACACTGCACATCAGATATCCAGTTCCTCTGTTAAATTGCATACAGTGACACCCGTTTGTACACTGACTAACAATAACCAACCGATTCAGTATATTGGGTCGGAGGCCAGGACTGTATGCGTCCCTGTTTGTAGTTCTCATTCATTATATCCCCACTCGGTTGTACATCGTGCATCTCCAAATTCAAATGTTGGATATAACTCTGGATCTATGACTCATGCTCATTGCAGCACTTCAAGTGGTCAGCCGGATATGCTTGAGACATTGCTATCCAGGAATGTATATAATACACAAGTACACCCTCAAAATCACTCTCCGCGTCTTCTCGGTTCGTCGATAGTTGTAACAAACGTACCAAACCCAAATCCTTCCGTAATGAGTGGACCAGCAAACATTCGTAATACTGCTCCTGCCTCGAGTAGTCACCCAGTGGGTCAAACCTATACGGCTACAACAAGTGCTCCGTCCGTCGTAGCAACAGACCCAGAAAAACGTCAGCTTATTCAGCAGCAGTTGATTCTTTTGCTGCATGCTCGACGCTGCCAACGCCAAGAAGACGAAAGCAATGGAAGGATAGTACAGTGTAATACACCACACTGTAACACGATGCGTGGAGTTTTGCAACATATGACATCCTGTACACAAGGTAAAAACTGCCAGACCCCGCACTGTGCTTCCTCTCGTCAAATAATTTCACACTGGAAAAACTGCAATAACCGAGAATGTCCAGTGTGTGAACCTCTAAAGCAAAACCAGCATTACCAACGCAATCAAATGGTACGCCCTCAAAATGCAGTTCAAGTGCACACGGCTCCTAACCGAGTTCCTGAAGTGAATGGTGTAGACTCCAGTCCTCACTCGTGTGCTTCACTTCAGCCACCTAGTCAAAATTTTCGTGTTACATCCATTGGAAGTGTTCCTAACAATCCAAGTGTTGTTCGAGCACCAGCTGCAGTTGTCCCTAGTACTCAAATTTCAGACACATCAGGCTTAAATGGGGTCAGTAGTCATACGACTTCAAATTGTACTCCTATGGAGCAGAACGATTGGCGAAAAGGTGTAGATATATCCCAACGGAATCATGTCGTGCGGAGGATGTAAGTTCTCACTTTTAATGTCATTTGATTTACATGAAGTAATTTTTGTGGAGCGCTTTATCGAATGCTGATGTCTTGAGTATTAAAGACGTTGCGTTCTGTCTATATCGGTATAGTGGTGGCTTTATAACTTAGTTACATCGTACTGTATGTGGTGCATTTTACTGCCACTGAGATGTAATGGCTGTGTATTAGCGTCTGTTAAATGAATAACTGGTTTTTAAGATGTTCGTAATAGGACGTAGTGCAGTGTGCGCGTATCAGGTGAAATACGCCAGAAGACGGCACTTTATCTGTAAAATTTGTTGTAGTAAAATATACTGTCCTAATTCAGAAGAATTCAGAATTTGTCATGTTGAGGACAGGTAAATGTGAAATGCGACTAAGAGTCACAACATTTGAGGTGTTATGTTTTTGATTTTGGATACCCCGTGATGGTGAATCTGGTGCAATTACGTGAGCTTGTGTATTTGGACTACGCTGGTCGCGTTTACGATATTGACAGCCTAGTTGCATATCAAATTTACAACTCAAAACACCCAGTTCATATGCTAGGTTATGAGCTGCAACATCTGGGGGCTTAAAAATTGAGACAGCAGGGACTTTGCATATTTTGACAACTCAAAATAGTTTCATGACCTTGCGTATCTCGAATGTCTGTCGCAGATGACATGTATTGTCTCACGTATCACCGTTCTGTCTGCATTTGCAGTGCCCGATTTTATCATTGGATTTCGCTTTATGGGTCTTAGCACTTGGCATTTGCTCCTTCCATCTGTTGTGTTAAGCCTGCTATTCGAATAAGCCAGGAGCGTTACTGTGCAAGAGTTTGACTTTTGGTTTGCTGTTTCTACATTGAAGTCTTCTTTTCTTTTGTAATGTCGCATCGTAGGAAGTTTTACATGAAGCTGTTTGCTTAACTGGCGTTATCCAGTGTAGTAGATAATTGTAGCGAATCGCAAGGTTTGCTGTTATCTGAGAAGTATTATTGTTGCTTGTAAGTCTTGGATTTTATATGGAACATACTCAGTAGTTGCTTTATGCGTCATAAGTATTAGGATCCCGTATCGAGATTTGTGCTTTCAAGCTAGCAAGCCCCAATCTTAGGGTGTGCAGTATATTTTTTTACTTAGGACATTAGTTATCATGGTCATATATGCAGCTTGCTTGAGGAATGTGCTCGGCATTTTTGGAAAACTGCTTTAGCATAATCGTGTTTGGGTTTTCTATTTAGAAACTAGGTATTAGTGGGTCATTGTAACGCATATCAGTAAACTCGTAAAAGGCGAAATCTTATAGACTCTGGTGGCCTTTTTGGAAGTTATGTTATTCATATATGGTTTGTTATGGGCGTGTAGTTGTCAAAATTCCCTCACACCATACCTGTCGATGAGGGCAAAGTACACATTAGGAAAATATAGCGAATGAGAGGGAAATTTTATTAAACAACCACTTGCAGTTCTGCGCAGTTGGCAATGAGCCACAAACTATGGGAATGCCATTAAAACTAACCGGCTGCCCAAACCTCGGTAAGTGGAGTCATGGTTGTAGCTGATCGCCAGCTACATTGAATTGCGTTGATATCACTCTGCTTTTGACAGTGGATTCGTATGGTTTAAGATGCAGCTCGAGTAACTGTTTCGTAATTTAGACGGATTTAAAGCGGGATTTTGTGATAAAGGTCTATTGATGTTCTGAAAGACCACCTATTGAAAATATGCAGCTGGCATTTAATACCTGTAGATATAGGTTTTCTCACGACCTGGGTACGAGTTTCCTTAGAATTCTCCGGAGCTCTTGTTAAACCGCACTGGTAATTTAAGCCAGTTCATCCCAGGATTTCCATTTTTTTACTCAGGAGGAGCCAGTAACTAAATCTAAAATGTTGACCCCTGTGGATTATAGTTTTGGCTCGCTAACCTCAAATGCTGAAGGAAAGCAGTAGGTATCTTTGAAAGGTTTTAGAAGGTATTCACTAAATTATTTAGAAGTATGCCACACATTATGATAGAAATGAGCGTCATAGAGCTACTTCACACCAAATCAAAGCAACGGACGCTTGCGTAAACTAGGAATCACTTGTTTTTATTTCCGTATGACAGTAAATGATGGTTATTACGAAGGAATTAGATTGGTTAGTTTCCAATCCAATTTTCAGTCACACTTATTATGATTGGTTCATTAACCACTTCAAACCATTTCCAGTTATTGATGAATGCTTATTTGAATATGTTTGCAACTAGGGGCAATCACGATGGGCTCTATAGGTGAAAATCGTCACAGAGCTTTTGCGTCTTAGTTTTCGTACACTTGTACTGAAATTTTCCATTCTAACGAATAAGGGTGCAATACTTGGCCCCTTGCAGTGGGCTGCATCAGTAGTGTGTAAACCATTATGAGAAGTTTGTGTATCTGTGAGCTGATTTGCGCAGTTTTAGAGTGGAAATGGATACAGGTGCAATAGTTTACAAATACATGACATTCGAGTATAATGGAACTAAATATTTTGACTGTCCTGCTCACAAATAGTCCACTGATGAGGCGTATTAGAGGGTGGCAATTAGTCTTATGGCAGATAGAAGTGACTGATGCAAATTCTTAACGCCTCTTCTTTAGAAATAGTGAGATTGGTAAACACATACAAGTTTTCCTAAGAATCGTATGTAGTGTGAGTGCCGTCCAAACAATACTGTTGTCAAAAAGAGCCATAAGTAACTGAGGTAAAAAAATAATCGCTTCTTTGATATTTCTCGTGGCATTGACTGTTACTTGTGCGCTAAACAATATTGAGTTCACAAAAGAGGGTTCAAGCCTCTTAGACTTCTCTAATTAGCTACCTTGAAGACAGTACAAAGTATCTGAGGATAGTTCACATCGATAAAGTCACCTATTTGTTCTTTATGTGAGTTAGCTTGTTTATTTTATTTGTATATACACTATGTTCATGTTTGCACAATAGTATTTTTATCTTTTTCATGTCTTACCGTTCGCATTGTTAAAACAGTTAGATATCTGCAATTGAACGTTGCTTCGGAAGAATGATATGGTTTTAGAAATAGAAAGTTGGTTGTTAATGGCAAAGTTACTTTGGAAATACACTATACAAAACAGACTATAGAACAGCATGTAAATGGGTTTTGAAGACAACAAATCCCTACGGTAAATGGATAGTCTATCGGAACCCTGGCTTAAATAAAGCTTCATACGTTTACCGAATCTTGGATAAAAAGCACCGAGACCATTATAAATATGAAGTATATCTGTAGCAGTGCATTTTAATTAGCATACGAATACCATAGTTCTAACAAAGTAAATGTCTCACATTTCCAAAGGTCCTAACAAACGTCCTAATAACTACAAATATTTTTGTCAGTTAACTGTCTTGATTTAGCTGTAGTTTGTTAATCTAAACAGTCCAAATTCCAGTCAGTGGGGAGTAATTTCAACCTCTCCACTTACCATTTTGAGCAACACATTACAGTTGACTTATTTTTGAGGTTTCATGTGACCAAGCAGTTTTTATTGGTTGGCGTTTTTAATAGATAGCAGCTAAACTTTTCTAAAAGCTTTTCGCGAAGTAAATGACTTAATATTCATTATTTGTTTTACCCATGTATTCCATTTATTCCAGTGTGCGGTTCATTTTCCCATTTCCGGATCCTGCTGCTTACTCAGACCCAAGAATGCGAAATTTGATTGAATACGCGCGTAAGGTTGAACGCGAAATGTATGTAACTGCAACGGATATCGATCATTATTTTCATTTGCTTGCTCAGAAATGTTACAAAATACACCGTGAACTGGAAGAAAAGCGGAAAAGTCGCCAACTTGTAATGGATAATTCAGCTGGGGGTTCGCAGTCTGCAGTAACCTCTTCAGCTGCTGTCAGCTCTTCCCCACAACTTAACCAAAGTTTATCCACATTGTCTAGTCAGTTAGCTTCACCTTCCAGTTTTGTTTCATCAACACCGTGTTCGACCAACAGGTTTCCAAACCCTAGTATTACGAACGGTAATTACAATTCTTCATCAACTGAGAGCTACGAAATGAATTCCTTTGCAACTCAAGATTCAGGTAGTTCAGAAACTGATATGTCGAGGTTTGAACATTATCTGCAAAATGCGTGCAATCGTCATCGCTTTAAATCAGACTCAAACACTGCAGGGTCCTCTGAGTCTCCTGTTGTGTCTTCATCAGTGACTAACATAAAGACTACACCGCAACCTGTGAAACCAACAGAAGATGTTAAGGCTTCCAGCACTCCAGTGGTATCTGCGTCGGGGGATTGCAAACCTGATAAGAGCAAAATAATTAAGACTGAAGCTAAATCAGAAGATGCACCCTCTAGTGAACCCTCGGTTAATAATGATTCGTTTTCTGTTGACTCAACTTCAACACTTAATTCAAGCAGTGTTCCGATCAGTTCAAGCATGTTATCCGTCAAACCAGACGAAAGCAAGTGGAAGAAGTGGTCTAGAGAGGAGTTGTTACGTCACTTTTTGCAATTGCATGAGGAAGTTTACAACGATAAGTATGCGGAACCATTCCGTGCTCCAGTCGATCCAGTGATGCTCCACATACCAGATTATTTTCAGGTTATAAAGGAGCCCATGGATTTAACTACCATCCGAAATAACTTGGAGGATGGTAAATATACAGATCCTTGGCAGGTTGTGGATCACTTTCGATTGATGTTTAACAATGCGTGGTTATACAACAAGAAGACCTCTAAAGTTTACAAAATGTGTACTAAGGTATGTCAAATTACTTTCACAATTAACTTTTCAAATTAGCTAGCAGAACTTTTTCAAAGTCGGATAGACCAAGTGATGCAGGCTATGGGGTTTTGTTGCGGTCAGGATTACGAATACCAACCCCAAGGTTTATACTGCTCTTCTCCAAACCTGTGTACTATAAATCGAGATGCAACTTATTTTGTTTATCTTAACAAGTAAGTCCTTGTTTTTACATTTATATGTTTAGTGACAAACAAATTGGTCTTGTTTGCGATAAGTACTACCAATGTGAAAAGTGCTTCAGTGAGGCTGGAGATGTAATTATTTTGGCAGATGAACCGAATCAGTCTATGTAAGCTTCACTTTGCAAATTTGCAACTAATTAATCCTTTTTTAGTCCAATCAAAAGGGAACTGTTTGAAAAGCGCAAAAATAATGTGAAGGAGAAGGAGGAGTTTGTCATCTGTGTGGAGTGTGGTAGGAAGTGGCACAAGGTTTGCGCCTTACACATGAATGAAATATGGCCAAGCGGCTTCGTTTGTCCTGGTTGTTTGCGGGAGCGTGGTATGAAGAGAAAAGAAAACCGGTTTACTGCCAAAAAGCTACCAGTTACACGCTTAAGCAATTTTCTAGAGAAACGTGTTAATGACTTCCTGAAAAAGAAAGAAGTTGGTACAGGCGAGGTCACCATCCGTGTGTTGGCAAGTTCTGACAAAGTTGTAGAAGTTAAGCCATTAATGCGTGCACGATTCACAGAAAGTGGAGAACTTTCTGAGTCATTCCCTTATCGTCTAAAAGCTGTTTTCGCTTTCCAGGAAATTGACGGGCAAGATGTTTGTTTCTTCGGCTTGTACGTGCAAGAATATGGATCGGAAAGTCCACAGCCTAATCGCAGAAGGGTTTATGTTGCATACCTCGATTCAGTTTTCTTTTTTCGACCAAAACAGTATAGAACAGATGTGTATCACGAAATTCTTGTCGGTTATCTCTTGTACGCTAAACGATGTGGATATGCTATGGCACACATATGGGCCTGTCCACCTGGCGAAGGAGATGATTACATATTTCACATGCATCCTGCTGAACAGAAAATTCCCAAAGCAAAACGTCTTCAGGAATGGTATCGTCGAATGCTTCAAAAAGCTATCATAGAAGGAATTGTAGTGGACTATAAAAATATCCTCAAAGATGCACTAGATCATCAGCTTGTTTCACCTACAGAAATCCCTTATTTTGAAGGTGATTTCTGGCCGAACACACTTGAAGACATTTTAAAGGTAAGGTAACCATACTGTTTACTCATGACGGGTTTAGACTGTGCATGTTCTAATTTTTTAGTCGTTTTTTAGTGTTCATTTGTCTATGACCTGTGTTTAAGTTTTAACACATTGCTGAATGTACATGGAATAGCTCATTAATTTATGATTTCATCTCTGTTACGTTTAATTCATAATTAGTATATGTTGTATTAGTTCGCCACATGAAAACTACCACATTCACCTAGAATATATTATTACGTTGAGGATCTGAATGTTGTTTTAAATTAAAAATTAGTACTCCACTTGTTCCAAATTCCAAATTGTGATCATTTTTAGCATTGCTTCGTACAAACTGTCTATCTTTCATGTAAATGTACCGATTAGATAGTTTTTTGAGATAAATGGAAACAAGTAGGATGAACTTTGTTTTATATATTGATGATTTGCATTGATATTACTGTTTTTGGAAGTTAGGGCCTTGTTATTTATCGTAATCAGTAATACAAACATTTCATTTTTCTTTAGGAGCTTGAGGAAGAGGAGGCTCGTCGACGCCGCGAAGAAGCCATGGCTCAAGTAGAGGCTGAAGATGATGATGCAGATTGTTCCAGTTCTACCAACGAGGGGCTGTCTGGGGATCCAGATAAGCGTAGTGGCAAGAAAAAGGCGAAGAAACGTAAAGGTAATAAAAAAGGCAATACATCCACTGCAAGTAAGCGAAAACGTTTGGATGGACCTATTGATGGTGCTGAAGAGCTTTCGCGCAAGGTTTATGATACTATGGAGAAGTTGAAGGAAATATTTTTTGTCATCCGTCTTCATCGACACAATTCAGCTGCTTCGCTTCCACCCACTACTGATCCAGACCAACCTGTACATAGTGAATTAATGGACAGTCGAGATGCGTTCCTACAGATGGCCCGCGAAAGACATTTAGAATTTTCATCCCTGCGTCGTGCTAAGTACTCTTCAATGGTTCTCCTTTATGAATTGCATATGGAATTGCGACAGAGCTTTATGTATAACTGTAACGTTTGTGGTGCCCAAATCGAAACTCGATGGCATTGTAACGATTGTGAGGAATATGATTTATGTTCCCGTTGTTATAAGACAGAAAACCATCCTCATCCAATGGTTCAGTATGGTCTTGGTATCGACGAAGATTCGAGTACAAATGAAGAATCAGGTGACAGACCTAGTGGTGCTGGTACAATTCCTGATCGTCGAAGCAGTGTCGAGGGTTGCATTAGGTCATTGCTGCATGCCTGTCAATGTCGAGATGCAAACTGTCGTATGCAAACATGTGCTCAGATGAAACGGGTTTTGTGTCACACTCGAAACTGCACGAAGAAAGCAACAAACAGTTGTTTGCTTTGTCGCCAGTTATTGTCCTTGCTATGGCATCATGCCCGGTGTTGTGAAGAGTCTAAATGCCCAGTTCCTTTCTGTTCCAACATAAAGTACAGGGTGAAACAGAAACAATTACAACAGCGGTTGCAACAAAATAAGCTGCTCAGACGTCGTATTTCCACCATGCATCGAGGAGCATTACCGGCCAGCGAGGCACAACCTTTAACTCAAAGTTGCCCTACCTCCACAGTAGCATCCACTGCTTCTGGTTCTTTGAATCCAGGTATTGTTAGCTCAGTGCATCAAACCCAATCTCCCAACCATCCATCACTAACGCCCAATTCAGTAAGGAATACACAGTTACCCAATCCTACCACAAATTCAGCGGAGAAAGGCGGTAACGCCACTTCAATAGGTTTCCAATCTCAAAATTCTCAGGTACAGCAGGGTTCTGTGTTGCTTTCTGTTGGAAATTCCCAGTATTCAAATTCACCTAGGACTGCGGTTCCAACTGTTGTTTCTCAGGCCAGTCAGGGTGCAACCCAACGACCACCTACCGTTTGTTCTTCTGTGATGCCTTCCGGAGGTCGTGTCATTATGCAACCACCAGTAATAACGGGTCCGGCCCAACGTACGAATCCTCCTGTCACTGCATCTGTCACCTCAGGTTGGCGAGTTCGCCCAGTTATAACAGCAACTGCGTCCCAAAGTACTATGCTTTCATCACCTAATCAGCAAGTTCACTCGCAGATACAGTCGCCTTCAGCGGTATCAGTTCATTCAACCATTTCAATCCCCAATCCTGTGAACAGTCAGAAACCATCTATAACCAATAAACCGACACAAAATGAAATTGACCATGTTAGTCAAGTAATCAGCTTAATAAAGGCTACTGGGACATCAAGCGACGAACAAAATCGTCGGGTAAGTAACTATTTTAATGTTGAAAATTATTGAGTTTTGACTGACTGTTCCGTATATATAATACATTCCATCACTTCCACGTTTTATCAACTCTCCAACATTCACATCAGTGACGTCAGTATGTTGATGTAATTTGGTTCTCTTGTGAAAATGAAGGGTTTTGAAGCCTTAGTTTAACCACTTGTAGCATATGTCAGTTTTATCCATCAATCCATTGTTGAAGAAGGTAAATATTACCTCATCATTTGTCACTTCCAATAGTTAGTTAGTGCCAGGATTGTCTGTGAATCAACTGTTTATTATATTATTATCATTATAATTGTTTCCTTTAATTCATAGAGGAACATAGGGCTTCAGCCGTGCGTCTCCATTGCTTTCGGTTCTCTGCTACAGTCTTCACCTGGCTCTAAGTCTGCCCACACGCTTTCATCTCCCCTTCACATGACTTCCTCCAAGTCACCCTTGCACTGACGACCAACTCGCCGCTTGTCTAGTGATGTTACTTGATGGTTTCCTCAGAGTATGGCCAATCCATCTCTATTTCTTCCTGCATATTTGTTTCACAATCGGTTCCTGGTTGGTTCGCTCCCAGAGATCCCTGTTGCTGATCTTTTCTGGCCGGCCATCTGATCTTGAGTAGTATTGAGCGAAGACAACTGTTGATGAAGGTCTGTAGTTTGTTTGAGATGCTCTTTATGACGCGCAGTGCAAGTCTCTGATCCGTATAGTAGCACTGACTTCACATTGGAGTTGAAAATCCGGATCTTTTTTTTGATGGTGAGTGCTGTTGACCTCCACACAGACTTGAGAGTAATGAAAGCTTGTCTTGCTTTTCCAATTCTTGCTTTGATATCCTCGTCAGTTCCGCCTGTAGTTGAAACGATGCTTCCCAGGTAGGTAAAAAGGTTGTTTAGTGTATACTTACAAAGCTATCTTTAATTCAACTGGTTACTCCTTGTGATTATTCGTGTATGTTGAATTTTTGAGTTTTCATGACATTTGGCGTCTTTGCGAATAATTTCAGCGAGTATAGTTTGTAAAATTAAGTACAAAATAGATGAACCTGTAACACTGATATAAGAATAAAACTTGTGCACTGCGGTAGAGTGTAATTCCATTATGGGTAAATTTTGTTTTGATAAAGTCTCACAGTGTTATACAGTAACGTTTACTGATGACGCTTCGAGCACAATTTATTGCTCATAATCATATCGACGTTATGATTATGAGCAATAAATTGTGCTCGAAACGTCATCAGTAAACATTACTGTATAACACTGTGAGACTTTATCAAAACAAAATTTACCCATAATGGAACCTGTAACACACCTGTATTCTATTTTTTTAGTTTGGTAATATTGTTTATGCTCTAACTCACTCATTTCTTTCAAACTCTTTACTTCTTTATAGTTTATTGCTTGGATCAAACGTCATCCCGAGTTTCATGCCGCCTTTTTTGCCTTACACTCTCAACATAAGCAGCAAGCTGAGTTACGTGCCCAAGCAAGTCAAAGGCGTATGACCACTTCTAGTACGATACCTGGCAGTTCATCACTATCCACAAGTTTCCCAACTTCGGTCTCAGCTGTAGTAACCTCCTCAATATCTGATGCTTCCCAGTCTCTCTTGGGTTCTAGTAGTATTACAGGCAACGTTGTTATAGTTCCATCTTCAGTTTCTGCGAGTTCAAATTTGCAAAATACAGGATTGAGTAGAACACAAACTCAAAATATGAACAGTCTTCCTATGTCATCTATGCCTGTTGTATCTGCTTCAGCATCATTGGGTTCAACACCTACTGTTGTGCACCAACCTGTTCAGTGGATTTCTATCCAGTCACCAATCACTACAAATCATCATCAACCTTTGATTACAGGATGTACAGCGCAGCCTATTCAAGCCGTACCAAATAGCACAACTCTTCGTTTTCGAGCAGTTCCTGGCACTGCGACGTTAGTTCAATCACAACCACAGCAAGTACAACATTTTTACAACACATCGCAGCTTGGCCCAGACCCTACTTTTAGCAGTAATGAATCTGGGTCTAGTATGTTTGTCTCAGCCACTGGTTCTAATATATTGTCTGTGGGTAATCAGCAATCCCAAGTGCTTAGTGCCGTTCCTCAACGCATAACTCCAGCTTCAGTTTCCAGTATGACTACTATGGGTCGTCAGGCGTCTACACCACAGGCAGCTATTGTACACTTTAGATCACAACAACATCAGTCACTTAGTGGAACTGTAAATCCTATGCAACCTCATATAATACTTACGAATACTACGGCCCCTGCAACGGGTCCTGCTCATCTCTCTCACCAGTCACAACCACAGTTGGTTTCTGCTGCCTCAAATGGTCGTCAGGTTGTCGCATTGATGACTCATCAGAATATTCCCCACACAAATGTTTCCGATCCAGGAGTATCTTTGCGTGACTCTAGTTCCAATAATTCTAATAACAATCTTGGAAATGGCGTTTAAAGGATTGTTTAGTTGAACTTTGCTTTCACATTGCTGGCTGTGTAAGTACTTAAAAAGCTTTCTATGAGCTCACATGACACTGTCATGTTTTCTGTGTCGTTGCAAGTGCAATTTATGGCACTCTAAAATTCACGGTTGGTGACATTTTTTATGAATCGCGAGCTCAACTGTGTTTTCAGGGAGGGAAGTTGTTAATAAACACTCCATATCCTTTCATTCTAACAGTTTTGTGTTTGGTTAAACTTGAACATCGCATTTATGTTAATTGTGAGGAAAAAGATTTCCCCATTGATTCTTGAGTTCCCAAGCCAGTTGTGTGCATTCTTTCACTTTGTTCCGGTGGTCATTTGCTCTGTTTAGTTCCGTGCACATTATTTTGATACGTTTTGTAGCAACCCCTCCCTGCTTGACAGTGCTTGCACCATTGAATGAGTTCACAAATTTCAAGGATATTCAAATTATTTTTCTCTGTTTTCTTCATTTCTGTTCTTTGCGATCTTTAGAACAAGTTTCTTATCTTAACAGATCCTGACCAAATTCATTGTTGATGAATAATTTGTTTATTTTTAGATTCTAATTTTGTTTCCTATACAAATTTATCAGCTTATGTTTTGTGGCGCATTGTCCTACCCCATCTTCAGCTTGTTTCATCTAATCAGGTTGAAGTGTATTAAATAAATATATCATTGTATACATTTACGCCAGAGTTTCAAAATAGGCTTATGTGTTGCCTATATTTGTTCAAAATTCCAAAAAATAATATAGCACTACCTTTCCCTTTAAATTGGTCAGAGCTTTGGAGTAATGTAGACCTGTGTATATAGCCGCGATAACTGTTGATTTCCCAAATTTTCTTCTCTGCTGCCAAGCTTTGTACATGCAACATTTTCCTTGTGCAGTTAACTAACACATCTTTATGCCCTCTTTTAATTTCCTTTAATATTATAGTTTAATGTAGTAATTTTGCTTGTGTACATGCCTTTAAGTTCCGATCTGTTGTCTTTTTGACTTCTGTGGTATGACACATGTTTATCTTATTTTCAACCGTGTCTTTGTACGCATGATATGCGCGCCCGCTTCCCGTCACACCCTTTAAAGTACTCTATTCTGTCTTTGTAAATTATTTTCTCTTTTTATTAAGAGTTCTATTGTCTATCGTGTCTTTTTATGAATTAAAAAAAACTGGGTATTTTAAGTCCATGTAGTATATATAATGATTGCTTTATCTCATTGTAGTGAGTGACGTTCGTTCCTGATATCTAGGTGTGTACATTCAATTTTTCTGTAACTACTACGGTTACTTTATTATAGAAAAATGTTTGATTTTGATGTTTACAAGTTTCAAGGCGATATGATTGTATGATTGATTTTCGGACTGGAGTAGGAATTCCTCAGACAAATTATGAAAAATGCTAATAGTAATCTCATTTTGTATATTATTTTTATGTGATGCTGATTTGGCTTCAAGAAAGCTTTTCTGAAATGTTATAGTTTACACTTAATTCATGGGAGATGCACCAGGACTGCAGAAGTTTCATGAAGTCACGGTTTAAATAATTTAAATCATATAGTTATTCATGTTATTGGGGTTATTACCACTATGGTACCACCACTTGGATGTACGTGAATCTGATAATGACGTATTTTATGTTGAGGAATCACTGAGCTGAAAGACGTATAGAGGGACAAATAGGTGATAGTTGGGGCGATAAATTAGTTCTGTCCTTATTTCAGGAGTCTGGTGATTACATCATCCGAAATGGCAAAAGTATTCATTCATCAACTGGATGGTAATGTGTTATCGTAGCGCATCTTATCCGTGGGTAAGGCGTTTCATAAGTCAGCTCCCTTTCACATATGTGGTCATAGTTGCCTCAATTCAGGCTCATTGGCTCGATCGCTGTGCTTACAAACAGTTGGCTCTAGGCTCGAATACCACCCAGCTTCTTCAGTCTGTACAACTATGGGGTATCAACACTCAAAAAATAAGTATGGCTCATAGCCTGGTATATATATCAGTTATCAATATAGATTGCTCACTCATTCTGAATTTCCAATGCACAGTTGATCATTCAAAAGTTTACTTATGCATCTGTTTCAGCTTACCCACGCATGTACTGTAGTCTGTTTCTATTTTCCACTCATCGTTTGATTTTGACATGCTGTTGAAAGAAATGCTGAAAAGAAATCAATTCGATCTATTTGCTTAGTTTAAATTATAAATATACAGTTTTCATCCTGTGATCAGAGCGTGGTTAAATCTTATAAACAGAATTTTGAGGATTTATTTCAACCATTCTAGGAATCTTTCAGATAGGTGAATTTAATGAAATGTACCAGCCAGTATTTTTGAAACTACAACTAACATTTCATGTCTAAGCATCAATTTGATGAATATCTTAATGTTTAATGATCGTGATTCTCTAGTACAACCTTACCGTTAGCTATCACCATTTCTAACTGAAACAATATTTTTGATTGCACACTAGTCAGTAACTAGTGTAATGTGTCTAGTCCTATCTTCGGTGCAGACTGAATTCTATCAGTCATGTTTGCAATGTGGCCACCATGCTAGGTGGCTCGCCATTACAGTGCACTATGAATTGTTGGTATTAGATGGTTGGAGGCAATCGGCAGGAAACCTTGGACCTAGGTTTCGTGCTAGTTGTCACTCACCAGTCAGCAAGGCGTATCTGCAACCTTGAAGGAACTCATGTCCCTTCTGAGATTCGAACCCGCGTCACACAGTGCTGCAGTCAGAGACGTTACCACTGAGCTATTCAGGCTCGCGACTGACCTCCTGTAGGACACTAGTCAGTAACTAGTGTAATGTGTCTAGTCCTATCCTACCATGTAATACTAACTGAAACAACATTAAGGCTTACAATTGTGCTGTAAGGTATCAGTCTGTGCGTCGGTGGCACAGTGGTTAGGACTCTCGCCGACCATGCACATGGTCCGGGGTTCGATCCCCTGCCGGCGCACACCCGATATCTATGGTCGGCCTGAATTTGGGCTACCGATATCCATGCTGAAAATTCCATACTTGTACTGAAAATACGGTGTGGAATCAAGCTGTAAATCAAAATCAAAATAAATAATAATCAAAAGCATAAATTGTGCATTAATCACAATGTTTATGTTATGATCTATGTCGCCAATTTGTTATGGACCTGTTGTCAAGTTATATGATCTCTTCGATAGTTGATATGACCGAGTGGAGATACGCGTGAGTATAATAATAGTGACGCAATGAGCAACGCAACTGATATGCTAAATACACATATTCGTCCGTGTTACCTTCTGCTTCACTGAGCCACGTAAATATCAAGAGACTAAGACTGGCCTGTGACTATTAAGATACAATTTTTATTAGGAAAGATACGCCGTATATACATATTTTTTCACCACATTAGAATCGGTCCATGGCAGTGGAAATAGAATGTCCTAATTAATAGGGCATTCGACCAAGGTTGGTGAAGAATAAATATTCTGATTGACTGGCTATTTGGTCAAGGTTAGGAGATGATTAAGTTTTACAGTCATCCGATCACATAATGAGTCATAAAGTGATTACTATTGCAAGCTGATTCCTATCAATATATTGGTTGATTTTATATGGTATATTAGCCGCCAACTCACACGCATAGTGCTCTGACATTTGGATGGACAAAGTAGAATTAAGATCTCTTTAGGAAATTGAATCAGGAAATTAGACGCCTTGAACTAGTAACTATTTATAGAATTCTTAAGCATTGATAGCTAACTAGTTCAGAGACTGGCAAAGAATCTAACCGTACGCAGAAGACATAAGTCATTTTATTGGTTGGAGGGTTTCATCATTAGCTGACATCAGTTAGAGAACCATTGGAAAACCCGGGAACACTGGACAACTGTTTCATCCTAGTTTGGGCTCTTCATCAGTGCGCACTCATCATATGGGTTTGAACCTAGGGCCTTCTGGTTATAAGGCGAGCTTATGGTGAAATCCTCCAACCAATCAAACGAAATCTCTACAAAAGCAATACTTGAAAATAGGTCATTTTACAAACGTTACATCCTCTGCAATGCGTAATCGCTAGCTGTTTATAGCGGTCCGGATGGCCCACGGTATCTGTTGCGCTGACGACTTATCGTAATAAGGGTTGTGTGCATAATGCAGCGGTTTGCATTATATATTTCTATTATACAAGTTGACTATAAGGCATAAACAATATTACAACATTCACAAGTATAGTGCTTGTAGAGATCAGGTGTTGGTGCCTAAATAAAGCAGTTAGTTTAAACACAATTGACAACCATTTTCGTATGAAGTAATTGGAACATATGTTGCATGTTTCTCGGTCGGTATTTTGTTTATCGTGTCTTGAACTTTTCGATTATTGATCATTCACTTGATCAGTAATGTGATAAATCGGGGCGGTGGAATAAGTTATCCATGCAGCATTATAGCCGTTATATTTGCGTATACCTCGGCCATGCTGAAAATCTGATCGGTTGTATCAACCAGTATATAGGCATTTCATTTACAAAAAATTCATGTAGCTTTGAACAATTTGATTTCCTTATTAAGAGCTATTTTTAATCTTTAACTGTAACGATAGTGTAGTATTATACTATTATTCCTTTGGCTTCCTAGTGGAACATAGGGCTTCAAAAACACATATCCACTTTGTTCTGTTTTCTGCTGTCCTCTTCAGCTGGGTCCACGATTGCCCATAATCTCTGATCTCCTCCTTGCACGATCTCTTCCATGTCACCCTCGCACCGACGACCTACTCATTGCTTCCCGTTGGGATTCCAATCGAGTGATGGCCTGCATTCGATGGCCTCCTCAGTGAATTCCTGATCCATCTCCATTTTCTCCTGCATATTTGTTGAGCGATCGGTTCTTGGTTGGTTGGTTTGTTCCCAGTCAGAGTTTCTTGTTGCTAATTCCTTCTGGTCGAAGAAGTAGCAAAGACAGGACTGCAGGTGAACATAGACAAGACAGAGGTTATGAAAATAACCAAACAACAGCAGCAACATCCAGCGCCAATCACCACCAACAGGAGGGATTTGAAAGAGGTCACTTCATTCACTTATCTAGGGAGCATTGTCTCAACTACAGGAGACAGGAACGGACGAGGATGTCAAATCGAGAATCGGGAAGGCGAGAAACACATTCATCAACCTGAAACCAATCTGGAAATCTTCGTCACTCCTCAGCATCAATAACAAAATTCGGATTTTCAATACAAACGTCAAGTCAGTCAGTTTTGCTATATGGATCAGAAACTTGGCCAGTGTGTCATAAAGAATATTTCCAACAGCCTGTTGCAGACCTTTATCAACAACTGTCTTCGCTGGCTCTATACTGAAGATCAGATGGCTGGAAAGAATCACTAACAAGAAACTATGGGAAGAAACAAAACAAGAACCAATCGCTCAACAAATATGCAGGAGAAAGTGGAGATGGATTGGACACTCGCTGAGGAGGCCGCTGGGTGACATCGGGCGTCAGGCCAGTGCTCGAGTGGAACCCGAAAGGGAAGCGGCGAGTGGGACGTCGAAGGGTGACATGGAGGAGATCGTGTGATGAGGAACTGAAACAGTATGGATTAACATGGATGCAAGTGAAAAATACAGCACAAGACAGAAGCAAGTGGAGGCGTGCAGTTGAAGCCCTATGTTCCACTAGGAACCCAAGGGAACAATAATAATAATAATTCCTTCTGGCCGGCCGGTCGGCCATTTGATCTACAGTATATGCAGCCAGCGAAGTGGGCAGCTGTTGATAAAAGTCTGCAGTGACCTGTTGGAAATCCTTTTCGTGCCACACCAATTTTTGATACTATATACTGCTATGTATCTCAAAAAGCTAAGCATTCACTAATATTTACTCAGAAAAGGTTGTCCTTATAAAAAGCTACGTTATTTTAGCCACTTGAGAGATTTTCTATTTCATTTGTTTTATCATGAATTTATGGCAATGACTGAACAAACTTCTTTTGTATACAGAGTTCAGGATTTAACATGTGAACTGTCATTGCTTCTGAGGTTTGAAGAATTCTGATTCGTACTTTTTTCAATAAATACGAAGTGTGACTGAACACTAAGTACCAAGTGATTAGTGCCATGCGTCTAGTCTTTCATTTCATTCAGACTGGAAACCATCAGTCAAGTTTACATGAATTCCTTCAAGGTTGAAGATACACCTTGTTGATGAATATCATCAAGCACGTAACTTACATCTCTAAGGCTTCCAGCCTATCATACCCAACCATCTAAGAATACGAAGTGTATTTAATGTAGTTACTGATGTTTGTGAAAAGAGTTATGTCGATATAAATATTTTCAACGACACAACTATACTACTGTTTTATATTCACTTCATCGACTATATTTCAATAGTCGATCATATTTATTATATCTATTATCGAATAATTTTTAGATAATTGCTTTGAAACTGTCGAAATCTTATATACAATGAAATAATCACTTCGTGTTACATTTCATTAATATTTGTCAAGCACATTTTTCCCCATGTGAAAGGATTGTCTGTCAACTTGCATTGTTAATTTCAGTATTGAATAAAGTGGAACCTTTATAGGATCCATTTTTAAACAGAATTAAATCATTGTGCTAAAATACACTACTGAAAAATTGGTAATTAGTAGTATGGTGTTATATGTCTTTCTTAATTACATGTGTTTCAGTATTTTAATTTCTTTTGTTTTTCAACAGATATATATTTTCCTTG